ACCCTAAATGCTTCCCTGACAAATACTGAACCATCCCCAGTCGGCTCCTCCCGGCACCCTGCAGCTTCCACACCTTCTCCAGCATCGTCTGCCGCTGCTAAACCTGCCGATGGCTCCACTGCTGCTTCAACCACCTCAGCCTCTTTAACCCAGGGGGGGCTACTCCTGAGCTTCCCCTGAGCCAGGAGAAGCAGGTGCTTCAGGAGCTGGAGGCAGTAGTAGCAGCTCAACAACAACTGATGGGTGAAGCCCAGGAAACAGGCCCTAATGCTCCAGCATCAGATCCTCTTCCATCAGGGTAAAAATCCATTTGGATGCTAAGATCCCATCCGGATCCGTCTGACATCACTGCTGCCAAGCAAACACGAAAGGAGCGCGCTGCTCACTGCTGCTTACATCATCAAGGCTGCACTTTAATAAATGTAATTGTCTAGAGAGTTGTTCTTAACAAAATGTATTTTTGTTACAAAATGTCAATCTGCTCTATCTAGAACTCCTGAAGTGGAAAGGTTTCCTTTCATAAAAAATATTTTTTAAGAAACCTTTGGCTATCTGATTATCAATCGATTATAAAAAAATAATCGAGGGATTAATCGATTTGCATAATAATCATTAGTTGTAGCCCTAGTTGGATGAAGATTGCGGTTCAGCAACAGCCTGTTATCAGTTAACCATGGATATCCTCTATTACTGACCCTCGACAAGCCTGCTCTATAGAATCTGATAAAATCAAGGAAAATAAGCCAGAATATTTATAAAATTCCTAATGTGAACAAAGTTTGTTCTGATTTCTTTAAATTAAATGTTAAATTTCACTTTTGATGAAGCATCTTTTGGAATGAGAGCCTCTGCACCAGCTGCTGCACCACTGTCCCGCCCTCACTGCTTCTCTACAGCAGGACCTTATAAGGCTGCGGACTAGGGGTGTAAATCACATTCATCATGGCGATTCGATTCAGTGTCGATTTCCTGACCCAACGATTCGATTATTTTCAATACTCAAGAATACACCACGATATGATTCCATTCGATTAACTGGTTCATTTTTTTTTTTTTTTTTTTACACCTTACAGGCTAGACAATGTTTCAAATTTGAAATAAATCAATGAAAGCTGTAATATTGTTATGCATTTTTTTTTTACAAACAACAGCAAATAACAGAAGTAGAAAAGTTGCACTCCACCTATTCCTATTAAAACCTCATTCACTGAAAAATAATAATACCCCTGCGTTATAGATTTGAAAGGCCTTGCATCAAAAAATACTGCACATAATCAGTGCAATGAGTGCAATGCGGTCCCTCGGCTCCAGACGTCCCGCCCCCTCCACAGACGCTCCGCTGCTCCTCTCCCAGATTGTAGCTGACCGCAGACAGGAGGCCGGCTTGTTTTGTTTTAATGACCGAAATTGTGGAAAACAACTCATGAAGTTTGACCCGCTAGAAGAGCGAGGTGCGCGAGAACGCTGGGAGCCTTTTTCCACCTGGATCTCCGCTCTTTTTGGCCCTCATGTCCCTCCGTCGTCGGACTAAACTCGCCCCCACTTCCTCGCCGCCTCGGCCGTATCTAGACCCACAGTGTGTAGCACAGACCACACGTACTGCAACACACTGCTGTAAGAGTATAACCAGGAAGCGAGGTAGGAGGGAAAAATAGGTTTAGCGCCACCGCAGCACGGGAGGAGAATTACGCCCAGGAGCAAATGGATAAAAATAGACCGGAGGGAAAAAAACATGAATAGATTCTCTTGCGGACGTGTCGTAGCTGTTGGATCGATGAATCGATACAAAACGATTATTATTTACACCCCTACTGCGGACCCTCAGTCACTTTCCAGAACCCAGACCAATTTACCTGTGGGGGGAGCTGCTCTCTACCTGCCCCCACCTATCAGCTCATACTGGATCACATTTAGTTTTATCGTTTTATCAGTGAGCAGCAGGAGGAGGGAGGACCGGCTCATTGTGGAATGAAGAGAATCCACTGAATCTGTGGCGCTGATCCAGGTTAGTAATAAGAAGCCGCAGCTGCAAGAGTTCACAAAGTGTTTTTTTCCTTCATGCATGGTTTGTAAACTGTTTGGGGGGGGACTGTGTTGCCCCGGGCCCCAGCAAAGCTGTCAGCTGGCCTGCCTGTCAGAACCGAGCTGCCGGGTAGAAAGAGAAGAATCTTAAATCAACGTCTGATGAAGCATTTCATGGATCTCTGACCAAACAACAGATCCTAAACGATGCCTTTACCGTTAGCATCTAGACATCTCTATATTAGCATGGCTAATGAAGGCTTTAATGGCTAAATCCTCATAGATCATCATGATGAAGATTGAAGCTGACAGCCACTGAAGGGACTTCACCATTCCTCGGTGCAAATATACACAAACACCTGAGCCACTCTCATTAACCGCGGAAACAACAAGAGCAATGGTGTAGATGTGATTAAAGCATTCATTTATCAATTGGCCATGGCACAACACACACACACACCTGCACACACACCGAGGCTAAAGCCGTGCTATGATGATGTGCATTAGCATGAGTGAAGGGAGCAGCTACACTGATCTCCTAAAGTGGAACAAAAGGCTTTTATGGCTGCACTTCAGCGTCTTGATAAATAAAAGGCCAAACTATGGGAAGAGGGACTGACCTTTACAGCTACAAAGACGCCACGGCATCCGGGCCATTAAAAGACAACGTGATGTTCAAACCGACGGGAGTCTGGCACCCGAAGGCCCGCGGCGCCCTGAGCTGCCGTCTCCTACGTCCCCATCTGCAGAGGCGTCAGCGGAGGCTGCAGGAGGCGGAGGGGATGTATGTAGCGGTATGCATGTGGATTTGTCAGTCAAGGTGTCAGTCAGGCTGACGGGGCATTGTGTTCCCTGACAGCTGCCTGAGAGTTACAACACTTCTATTAAGAAAGAACATGGCTCAGCGGACACTGCAGCCCCACTTCTCTCTATTTACTGGGATAAAGGAAAACACAAGCTAACAACATGCAGCTGCAGCAGAAGAATCGCCGTCAGCTGGACTGAGTGATAGCGACCGCCTTTCAAAGGGAAGGAACGCCGCAGCAGAAAACAGGATGAGGAAAGAGTCTGCTCAGAGCTTCTGGAACCAGGGGCAAACTAAAAGGCCAGTTTGTGGATAATATAGTTAGAGAACTGGGTTTTATTTCTCTGGTAATCATGTTGGAACAACAGCGTGCTGCTTCTAGCAAAATTTAAGTTTTATCTTTAGAGGCGCTTCTAATGATCTGCTGAGAACCGTCCCAGAACCGGATCAGATCAAAACCTTCATCTGGTTTTGCTTTCCTCCCTCTGCAGATAACGAAGCAACATGAGCGGGTTTGTCGTCGCCGACCTTTGGCCACTTACCTCATCCAGTTCGGAGATGTAGACGGGCCGCTCCTGGAAGCCGACAGCCATGGGTTCACTGGGGGGGATCTCCACCTCCTCAAACATCTTATTGTTTTCTCTGTGGATTCCCTCTGGTAACAGCAGCTAAATGTCGCAGACAAAACAAAACTAAATGTTAAAGACCTACCAGGTGACCTACAGTCTAATAAAAAACTGGGTTTGGAAGAAAATTCAGAGACAAAAACTTTCTCTGGGAATTTCAGCCGTTTCTAAAAGCTCTAAAAGTTTAGTCATTGGAGAGAAAAACAGCCATTTCTCTTCCATGGAGGAGTCCACTTCCTTCACCTCATCATTCTGCACAAAGATGGTGAAAATTATAACATATGGTCATGGCAACTTTAAAATGTGAGCTCTACAGTGGAATCAGACTCTATTTTTCAGCCACAGACCTTTGACTCTTAGAAATGACTCCAGAGGTTTTTACTGCTGTAGAAACAAACATTCAACATCTTCACAGACGCATGGCTCAACACATGGGCGACCTCCTGGGTACAAGATTCTGCTGCTCACATACACCTCAAGGACAAACCGCATTCGTTTAAGGACCAGAAAGTTCACATTTTAGATAAAGAAGACAGGTGGTTTGAAAGGGGTGTGAAGGAAGCCATTTATGACCCTTCAATGTGCATGTTTTTATAATCCATTACAAGGCTTTGTTGGGCTGCTGGATAAAACCTGGAACTAAACGCTATTTCTGACATTTTGAATTGAAAAAGCTTCCTGGATGGAAGAGAAACGTCTTCACACTTGGAAACAAAGTCCAAACATCCAGAGAGTTTAAAACTTAGCAGCTGCAGATGTCTGGAGATACGCGAACTTTAGATCTGACTAAATGAATATAATATTAATCATTAAAGTCGAGTTGCCCAGGAGCTGCCAGTGTTCAACCAGTCCAGAACAAGATTGAATTTGTGCAAAAAAAAAAAAAAGAAAAAAAGTTGATATGATATCAGTTGGGATAATTAGAAGTTTTGCGGTTGAAATAAAATATTTATTCTGAATGTAAATCATCTTATACCATTTAGTAGATTGTCTAATTTGCTTAAAATGAGGATAAATATTGTCAAAAGGGGTAAAGCTGAAGTGTTTCTGTTTTGCTGTGGATCGAGGTGGTAACCAGGCGCGTCCACAGCTGCTCCCCCTGGTGCATATAAAAAGGAGATCCTTCTAAACTGCTGTTTCAACTCTGAACTATCTGACCATGTCAGGGAGGGAACCTGTCAATCAGAGCAGAACTTCATTTTTCTGACACTGATAACACTTATGCCGTTTCTCAATATGCGTTCTTGAGCCTTCTGTGTGCTTGTCAGCCAATTGCAGAGAACGCCAGACCGAGGATGCAGCAAATCCCAGGATGTTGTTCCCGCCCCGCCCTCTTTACCCAGCATGCATCAGACTTGAGATGGACAGCTATACCAGCATGCACTGCAGCAGCAGCAGCTTTCAATGGAGCGCTCCATCCATCCATCCATCCATCCATTATCTGACACGCTTGTCCCGAGTGGGGTGGCGAGGTGTGCTGGTGTCTAACTCCAGGAGTCAATGGGTGAGAGGCGGGGTACGGGTCCAGGTCGCCAGTCCATCGCAGGGCAACACGGACACACAGGACATACAACCATTCACGCACACACTCACACCTAGAGAAGCAAATTAACCTAACAGTCATGTTTCTGGACTGTGTGAGGAAGCCAGAGTACCCGGAGAGAACCCATGCATGCTCAGGGAGAACATGCAAACTCCATGCAGAAAGATCCCGGGCCGGGAATCGAACCCAGAACTCTCTTGCTGCAAGGCAGCAGTGGTACCTGAGCAGCCCCATGGAGCGCTCCATTGAAAGGTAAAAGTTCTCTTTTCTGTTGCTGTTTAATAAATGTAAGTTTTAAGATCATTTGAGGCGAGAATATTAGACTTTTAATCGTCACTTCCAATTGACCCATATTTATGCTGCGTGCTCCTGTTCTCCCAGAGTCCAGACTTTCCTGTGTTGTTATCAAGAACAGACTTGGTGAGAACACGCGTCCGTACTCGCGTTCTAGTGAATTGAGAAACGGCCTTAATGTTCACACTAAAGACTTTCCTCCACAGCCTCTAGCGACAGATATTTTCTCTCTCCCTCCATTTTTCTCCCCTGACATGGAAACGGTTCCCATGGCGATGAGATCGTTTATTAAAGAAGCTGCTCACAGGTCTGAAACTTTCATGTTCAGCTGACCCTTCCAGCTGATTGGGCGAATGGACTCCTAGTGCCTGCCTACCACAGTTTGGTTTAAGCCAATCAGCATAAGAAATGAAAATGTCAGCAGACGCCATGAGAGACTACAATAGTTTTACCGTTTTTTTTTCAGGGATGAAATCTCTATCGAACAGAAGCGACAGCAGCAGATCGTCCTGAGCCGCCATGTTTAGGTTTGGATGGCTGTCCAGCTCTCTGCTTTCTTTCACAGCCATACATTGAACCATAGAACTGCAGTGTGACGGGCCGACCCATTGGGGTCAGGCTGGAAGTCAGGCTGCAGGCGGTGTTGAAGTAGCGCTGAACAGTCAGGTTTTCATTGGGAAAGAAGAAACTCTCACCCTGGCTCCTCCAACGAAGGCCGGTGCTTTCGTTGCTTCTGCATAGCTGTCGTAGACGTTGGGGTATCGGATCCGTTCATAGACTCTTTCTCTGGTGAGGACGGGTTCGTAGCGTGCATTCAGCAGGGCCTGCTCTCTGTGAGAAGAAAAGGAAAGGTCATAAAAAAACAGCAACAGGAAACATCAGAGCCACGCTCATTAGAAGGTCCCGTTTATTTGGGGAGAGTCCATCATGTCAGTCCATGGAAACATGGCTGCTGACACGTCTTTTTGCTCAGCTGGCTGTGATCAGCCAAGCTGCCTCCATAGCAGGACAGGAAGTGTGTTCCGCACACTTTTAAAAACCAAAGGCTGCTTTCTGTGCACATCCTCATCACTGTACTTTAGTTTTTCTTCCCCCCGTTTGTCAGTTAGAATCTAAGGCATTTTCCTCTAAAACTAAAACAATCTCGGGCTTCCAAAGTTCAGAGCAACATCATTTCATCACTTGTTCTTAGATTAATTAAGAACTGATTAATCCAGCTTACTGTCTCACCTTGCCAATTTATCCAGCGAATGCCTGCCATCCCAGACTCTTCTAAAATGCTGGCATACGTTCTATTCTTTCAAATTAAGGTGTATGCATAGTGTTCATAATGAGTCCAGAACTTCTGTCCAACGACAGCCTAACCTTAGCATAACGCACAGCAGCATAATGCCCATGAAATGACGCACAAGCATCATTTCATGGAAATTACGCTGCATCAGTTAAAGCATGCTCAAAATTTCTCAACCTACTTGCCGACACATGCCAGCTTACTTTAGCGTGCTCAGAACTCATCCAACGTATGCCAATGTTTTTGCCAGATTTTTTGTGCATTAGGCAAACGCTGGTCTAAATCATCAAGGTGTGACAGGAGCTTTACAGAGTAATCCCACATGCAGACATTTAGCATCTTATTATAACCGTTTGTTTGAGAGGTCGACCGACACAATGTTTTTAAAGCTGATTATTTTGACCGATCATGGGATGAGCTGCTGATTATTTGAGCCGCCTTTCCTTTAACGCAATAAACCATAGATAGTGAGTGGAGGAGGGGGCAATGTAAACGCTTCCCTTGGTCTAGAAGCAGAGCTGCTGAATGTTCCAATCGATCTGTGAATGTATGCAGGTTTCAGCTGATACAAATACAAAAATAAAAAGGTTCAGTTTGATCATTTTAAAAATATCGGCTGGCTGACGGATCGGCCTACGTCCAAACAGGATTGTTTAACCAAACAGGCATCACAGCTTGAAGGTTGTTATAATCAAACTTAAGGTCAATCAGATTTAGTGATAAAAAAAAGAAAACAGAGGTTATATCGTTCAGCCATAAGGCCCTCAGCATCAGTCACTGATCATTTTAGAAGGACTACGACAGTACAGGGAAAAATATCCTGACTGGGAAATCCCTAGCTTAGCATCCAAAACAATAATAAAGACCGTTTCTCCTGAGCCGATCCTCCGTTATTCTGGTCACCATGAATCTAAAAGCCTTAGAAGAAAACTGGACTCTAATTACATCATTTCAATGCTGTGTTCAAACCGAACCCTTCTGGAGCATCGGAGCGGCCGGTTCATATGTGAAGTGTTTCATGGCGACCATCAAAGCGTTTTTAAACGTCCTGCGGTGCGTTTCAAACTCCTGGCATCCTGAAGCGTTTTGAGCAGCCGGTCAGTGAGTTTTCACTGAGATATTGAGCTTCCAGGCCTCGACACGCATCAAGTTAGTAAATCTGAACTTTTGCTGCTTGACGCGGCGCATTAACCAATCAGAGGAGCTGATCTGAGAGCTGGCAGGGAGGCAGTCAGAGCACCAGAGCCACGACTTCTGCTCCATCACAAGGAAGCTTCACTGAGTTCACATACAAAGGGTCTCCTGCCACCCTGAGCAGGAAGCTCACTTCAGCCACTTTTATCCAGGACCTCGCTCTTTGGCTCATGGTCCAGATGTCCTGACATAGGGGAGGTGTAGGAATGTAGAATGACTGATACATCGAGAGTTCTGCCTTTTGGTTCAGATCAATGCAGAGTCTATCGATCTGCTGAAGCTCCCTCCTCCAACCTGAGGGGATTCAAGCCTCAGATACTCAGGAGTTGATCTTTATCCCGGCTGCCTGTCACTCGGCTGGAGGGAACCAGCAGAACCAGATCATTGGAAACAAGCAGGGATCAAAAACCAGACCCCCCCCCCCATAAAAGATGCTGCAAAGAAGCAGGGACAGTGCAGCATTGAAACCCTTAAATCGCTTTCAATGAACAACTGTTCTACATCACCTCATGAATAAAAATAAACCTTCCAACAGACTAAAAGACGACTAAAGTCATTTTCTGTTGTTCCCCTCTATATTTAAGAATCCCCCCCCGTGGATGACTGACTAACAGACGAAAGGCATTCTGCTGCTCTCTGAGGCGGCTTACCTCTCCGCTTATCATTTTCCTCACATCGCGCTGAGTTTAACCCTGATTTTTAATTAAACAGATCACTGCTTCGTCATCCCCTGAAATTAAACTTTGGGAATAATCTTCCGCAGGAAAAGATGTGTAACGAGCTGCAGAGTCATCGAGATGTTTTATTTCTTTTTGCCTGTTTTGTTTTATTTCCTTTGTTGGATTTTGGTAAAGCTGCAGTGGTGTCAGGGAAACGCAGAAGCTGGTGCTGCTTGGAGCGCAGGCAGAGACGGGCGGATGGAGAACAGGCAGAGTGTGGAGGTGACCTACCGCTGAGCTCTCATCTCTTTGGGGTCAAAGGTTACCCCAACCTCTGAGAAGTCACTATCATCGCCTCCTTTGGCTCTCTTTTTCTCTCGCTTTTCTTCTCGGCGGTAAATTTTCATCATTTGTTTCTCCTTCTCGGATTGGATGGTCACCTGGCAGCCGTAGGCAGGCTTGCTCATTTCGCCGCTGACCTTTCTGCTCACATCTGAAAGACAGAAAGGAAACGTGTCAAATGCACAGTGGGTTAGAAAAGCTTTCCTTCCACTGGACTTAATCATTGATTGGTTTTTAATATTGGCCTGAAAAATAGAGGAAACGTTCAAACATGTCCGCATGTCACGACCTCCGTGCAATAAGGACGACCTCGCCATCAGCAGCAGTTCAACCCGATAATAAGATTGACTTTTCTTTATTATCATTTCTCATTTCTGGCTCCACTGAGCACGGTGGTGGCACTGAACGGGTTAATGTTCCCCACTGCAGTCTCCCCTGTTTTAGACACAACAGCTCAATAAAGGGTAGAATTGCTCTTGAAAACAGATGAGATCTGATGATTGCACCGGGGCCTGGGCTGATTGACTGAATGATTTCTTCTTTATCTCGTCTAGTGGCTCTACCTACCGCACAGCTCCCCGCTCATCCTAACAGCTCTCCTCTTCCTGTCACTCTTAGCCTCCCTCCCATTACCTCTTCAACTCCAAACCCCTTTAACTCTGTCACCCTCTATGCACCGATTCCTCGGTCTAAGCCCTTCTCCTCCTCAGCCATCGCTCTCTCTGAGTACTAATGCGCCTTCTTTTGTGTTTCGAGCAGAAATTGCCTCCAAATTTGCAGGATTCTCATTTCCACAAGTGATCACGGTGCCATAATTGCAGAGGAGAGCACCGCCGGGATAGATCATGTTTGTTTACGAGCTGATTTCAAAGTGTTTTTCCCACATTTGAAGCCGAGGTCCTTCAGATCATTATGATAATCTCTGGGGTAATTTTACAATCCAATATCACATCCCCACACATAAAACCCAAATGTTCTACAGACAATAACGTTTTTTTCTTGCACATGTCCCAGAAGATGCAAGGCTGTAGTGACTTGATGTCTCTCTCTGTGTTTTCAAACGTGACTTTGACGTTTAAATCGACCTGCGGACGGTTTGTGCCTAGCATGCTAATGCCTGCCCTACTGCTTTAGCTTTTTGTTTGATTTGGCTCCGAGGAACCAGCTTGTCTTTATCAGCTTTAGGTACTTGAAAAGTTTTTTCCTTTGGTCCGGTGTCGCCCAGTTCATCACTTTTCTGTCTGAACTTTGGGGTTTTCTTTACATATGGGACAGTAATAATAATGAAAGTGTTTTTGTTTGTCGTTTTCAATTCTATTCAGTTTATTTCTATAGCTCCAATTCACATCATGTCATCTCAAGCCAATTTCCAGTTCACCAGATCATCCAGT